AAAAAAGGTGTTGAAGTTATCGCTATCGAAAAATGTGCCCTATATCGCAAAAAAGAAGAACAAGACAGAGCTTATATGAGATATAATTCAAAATACCTCAGCTTACCTGCTCAATGCACCATTCATACTCTTCGTCGGTTTCACCCTTCCACGCATAAACTGGAACTCCAGCGGCAGCAATGGCTGCAGCAGCATGGTCTTGAGTAGAGAAGATATTGCATGAAGACCATTGCACCTGTTATCAAAACCACATTAGCAAATAACAATAGAAAAGTATGCCTTATTGTTCTCCATTTTCACAAAAATACTGGTGTTATACCTCTGCTCCCAGTTCAACGAGAGTCTCGATGAGAACAGCGGTCTGGATCGTCATGTGAAGGCAACCAGCGATGCGAGCACCCTTCAGAGGCTTTGATGGTCCATACTTTTCGCGCATAGCCATCAATCCAGGCATCTCATTCTCAGCGATAATGATCTCCTATAACAATGCTTTAAGCGAATCAAATAAGGTCAAGCCACACCTCTTCTTTGTAAAGATGAGGAACTTAATAACTTATGCTTATACGGAAGAAAAAAAGGCAGCTAAAATGATTGGTCTAGTGGTGCTGAAAGAATTTAGAGTATAAACCTCTGGTTTCATCACTTAAGTACAGTCAGCTATCTCCTTTAAAACCAGCCAACCTTTCAACTGGACAATTGATTGAAAAAATTGAAAATTAAGGTACCTTTCGACCAAATTCTGCAAGGCCGATATCAGCGACTTTGAAGGCGGGCTTAGAAGCAGCCATTTGTCGTTTTTACCTAAAATAAACGCAAATTAATTCGAGCAGGGCTGCCAAAGCTATCTAGACCGAGCTGTCGGGAAGCTATCCAAAGAAAACTCAATGCGAGATACCAGAACTATCGACATATCACTCATGTATAAGAACATATCTCAACCGATGATTTTTAAAATTTATTTGGTTTAGCGAAGCGAACCAGGCCTAAATTTGAAATTGGCAAGGCCTTCCTTATGCAAAGGGTGCATGATGTAAACAGCAAGCGCCAGCGCTGCTTCGTACTTTGGAAGGACGGTGAGAGAAATTATTTTCACCCTAACAAAATTAAAGCCAAAGCGCGAACTTTTAAAATACTTTTGTGGGGATTTATTATCAGCTGTTTATCGCGAAAAATTCTTCTTTGTTAGAATCGGTTGATTAGCTGTTCCCTGTTATTTAATTGATTCTTTCCTTAGACACTTTCAAGATGTATATTTTTTCTGAAGCCTTAGCTTTGCATTCGGATGTTTAATGTGGATTCACAAAAAGTGCTGCTTCAGCATAGCATGATACTAACTTTCGCTCGTATTCCTACGGCATAGCCAATAGCTAATTCTGCCCTTTTATACAGCAGAATTAGAATCCGCCCCTTATCGGCTCCACCTATTTGTGCGATGCGCCGCCTTCACTTTCCCCGCCCAGTCCATTCTGTCCCTTCCCTGTCGGCTCCGAATTTCGAAATCAGGCCATGCGTCGTATGTTGGCACAGTCGAAGTTCAGCTAGACCATTTGGGCCAAATGGCCTAAGTGCGATAACGATCGCGTTGTTCTTCGTACGAAGAATGGGAGATAAGTCAAATGACGTAGTGTTTGTGGTAGGTTCCGGTGCGAAATATTTTATGGGATGGTTGGTGATAATTTTGAGCTCGTTTTCGAGGACGAGATAGGAAGAAACTGAAGAATGTTCAAGTTCTTACGAGAATTTCTTGTTGCGAAAAAAGGTAAACAGAGATTCTGAGCAATTCTTGAGCAAATTTGGACAGTCTGTAAATTCGTTAGTAAAAGGGTATTAGGCGTAAAATCAATGGTAGCACCATACTGTTATTTGGGCTGAACATGTCCGATAGTTTTACAAATGGCCAGGCTTGAAGTATATTTGAAGGCTGAGGTGTGCATGAGTCAGTTTCGATTCAAGTGATCTTCCAGAAGATGTGAGGGCTCAAATCCTACAGTATAGCTTACAGTAGATGAATTTAGAATGCAAGGTACGGTTGTTATCGAAATTAATAGCGCTTACAACCGCCTAAAGTCTCTCCCACAAAAGATATAATGAGGGAACTTTATATATGATGAATAATAATGGCGGTACTTTTTAACCCAGTATAACCCGTCGCTGTAGTAAGGAATAAGCAGTTGAGGGCAGTTTTTGACTAAATTAACTAGCCATTGCGTCCCATGCACTAATCACTTGTATTTTCTAATTAAGCTCTTGTGCAAACTTATTAAACTCCAATATGAAAATTCTTTTTCATAATTATTGAAGCTTTTTATAACGCACAATCGAGCGCAAATGTCAACATATCGATTAACGCGAAAATGAAAAGAAAGGGGAAGGAAAACAAGCTATACATTATGAGAAATTTGGAATGCACAACTTGTCAACTGGTTTAGGCGGTTTATATCGTTGCACAGTTGGTAGGAGGTTTGCCATCAGTGGGATGCCCTGTATATTTTTGTATCTGCAGAATCTAATCTTAGTAACGCATCTATGGCGTATACGAGGCAGATTTTGTCACAGATAAACACTCTCGTCAAACTATAGAGCAGTTCAAAAGTTCGTAAGTTTAAAACTTTGCACAAAACGGCAGAATTCTCTCCTACAACCCTCTTTTCATAAGTCAGTGATGAAAGTACAGCAGTTTCCAAATGTGTGATCTTGCTGCAGTCTTCGTGAAGAGTTAGGAAACGTCCTTCTGTTGTCGAGTTTGAGAGAATCTTTTTGAATTATGTGGAAGCTTAGGACCCCTTCAAAACGAAACGAAATAGTTTGTCTGCAGAGTTTATGGATTCCGTGAAAAGGTAGTGATGCCTTTTTTTAAAATTCACCGCATTATATGTGCAACGTGGTGATGGCAGAATCAACACGGTATTTGGTGAAGTGGATTTAGAGATTTCTTCTGAAATGCGGCCAATATAAAATAGTTTTCCTTCTACCTGCTATCGCTTCTGAAATATGTTTTGAAATGACAAAATTGTATTTTAAGAATGTGTATGGACATGACAATTAAATGTGCTGCTGGAACCTAGGGAAGACAAGAAAGAAATTCAGCTCTTCCTTAAAAAAATTAGACAAATATGCTAAGGTACATCTTCCAAATCATTGTTTTCCGAGAGATGCCATGTACAAATAACACAGAGCATGTTCAATTCTTCTGTCAAGATTAATTATGGCCCATGGATTGGAGTGTGATATAAATAATTGTAAAAAATGTATGTAGCAGCTGAAATTTTAGTTATATCTGTTAATTCCGCAAACGTTAAATGACAAAATCTAACCTAGATCTAATATGAGTTTCTGAGAAAAGTGTGCTTGCCTACTTTTGAGAGCATTTTAACAAAGCCGAGTATGTCTGATAAGGCACTCCTTTCCATTTCTATTTCATATTTTATATATTTTTCAGCCTATTTCATGTTTAGAGACAGGAAGTAAAACAAATGATTTTTCCCCACATATAGGCAAAATCTCCAATTTTCAATCATAAAACAATCTCTGTGGTGCCAAGTTTTAGGATCGAGAGTCATATCTTAGTAACTTGAAGCTTTTTCCTGCTAATGCCCTTGTTCTTTCCACTTCAACTTAATGAGGCGGTTTGCGATCCTTGACTCATTCTGTAAAACTGATATAGTGTATCATAGAAGATATATAAACTTTCTAGTGATTGAAGGCTCCTTTGCTTGCCGTCCACATAAAGATAGTTTTCTTTGGGAAGTGTATGTACATTTCAGGATAAATTAGGGTTTTGAAATGTTGGCAGAGAGTTGTAGAGACGCAAAATGACGAAATGTAAAACTTTTGGAATACTTAGATGTCCGCGTTACATCTATTTAGATAATGTATAACTGCCGTTTTACTAAATATGAACTCTGAAGTTTCTGACATCACAATTTTACGATACTAAATAAATATTTAAAAGTGGATATTTTTGCTCGCTTGGCTAAAAGCAGAAGACTTTCACAACATTTATGTGAGTCAGACAAAAAAGAGAGTCTGTTGTTGATGATATGCGTGATTCATCATTTGCTGTCCCGTCATAGAATGGGTATGCGAACATGTTTTATTGCCTGTCAGTGAACCCAACATTTGAACTTTGAAATCCCAAAATTGTTTTGAAAGGAAGAAAGGCGTACTGCTCTAAAAGTATTGCGACAACAGAGATATTGATGAAATGAACGCAAAGCTTATTGAATTAGAGAAGAATGTCATTGTTGCGAAAGGGAAATGTGCGGAATTTGCCTGATCAAACGATGCGACGATCATTTGAAAAAAGGAGCGACGTGGCTGACAGAACAATGCCGAATGGTAAGCGCATAGACTTCGGGCAATTTTACACCGCACTTTCGATAAAGAGCAAACGGATAGCGATCCATGTTTATTGCGGCATCACGCCATTTAGATCGTTAGACGCGGCAACTAGTGTTTTGAGTAGTTTGTTGCTATCAAAGTCTGAGAAAGTTTTGAGCTGAAATTCGAGTACCATATAGGCAAAATGAGATCGACCATCATTGTTGCTCCCAAAATTCAAACTGAAAACATCCAGATTCAGCTACTTGGAAAGAAGATGATATTATAGTCAAATTCATTTAAAGCACGTTCACATTATATACTATCTAAATCAAACAATGCTGACCAAACAGAAATGCCCTTAACAAAGGACAAATTCCGTTTCATTGAAAAACGAGATCTATCACTTTTAAGCCCTGGTGCGCATTCAACATTAAGCGTCAAATGCTCATTCTGTTCTAACCATCTTAATAGCTTAGCTTAATTAACTTCTAAAGTAACCAGTACCTAGGAAAGTCGCCTGCTGTTATTCTCTTTTTTTCTTCTACTCCCTCCATTATCCTTATATAGCTACAACTTTAAATTCAATCTTGCCTCGTGTACAGGTTTTGCATGATTCATGTTACTTTCTGCTGTTACGCGGATCAATGTCCCTAGCGTTTTTTTTTTTTGCCACAAACGTCAGCCATTTAACAGAGTTACGGAATGCTAATTGGCTATCGAAGCTTTCTAGAGCTTCAGTGATTTCTGCACCATCACTGGCGCTTGACCTTTGCAACAATTAATGCATTATCTAGGTTGCAACTATATTCATTAAACGCCTGCCAG